GGAAATGACAGATGCTGGCGAGGATGCGGAGAAAGGGGAACCCTCCTACACTGTTGGTGGGAATGCAAGCTGGTGCAACCACTCTGGAAAACAGCATGGAGGTTTCTCAAAATGTTGAAAATAGAACTACCCTATGATCCAGCAATTGCACTACTGGGTATTTACCCTAAAGATACAAACGTAGTGATCCGAAGGGGCACGTGCACCCGAATGTTTATAGCAGCAATGTCTACAATAGCCAAACTATGGAAAGAACCTAGATGTCCATCAACAGACGAATGGATAAAGAAGATGTGGTATATATACACAATGGAATACTATGCAGCCATCAAAAGAAATGAAATCTTGCCATTTGTGACGACGTGGATGGAACTAGAGGGTATCATGCTTAGCGAAATAAGCCAATCGGAGAAAGACAACTATCATATGATCTCCCTGATATGAGGGAGAGGAGACGCAACATGGGGGGTTAAGGGGGTAGGAGAAGAGTAAATGAAACAAGATGGGATTGGGAGGGAGACAAACCATAAGTGACTCTTAATCTCACAAAACAAACTGAGGGTTGATGGGGGAAGGAGAGTTGGGGGGTGGGGTTATGGACATTGGGGGGGTATGTGCTATGGTGAGTGCTGTGAAGTGTGTAAACCTGGCGATTCACAGACCTGTATCCCTGGGGATAAAAATACATTATATGTTTATAAAAAATAAAATTTAAAAAAAAAATAAAAATAAATTCCTGAAAAAAAAAAAAAAAAAAGAGAGAGAGACGCTGACAAACCAGAGCTTGACCGGGTGAAACTCACCAGGAATCAAAGATGAAGGGAGAGGTGCCCAGGAAAGTGAACTCCCTCCAGTTAATGGAAGACCTGGAGTGTGGAAGAGGTTTATGATTTATGGTCCCAAGAGTGAGCTGAGAGCTAACAGAGAGAAATTACAGTAGAGAAGACTCCAACTTCCTGTAAGGAAAGACTCCCTAGCTACTGGAACAATAAAAAATATCTAGAACTAGCTGCCTGATGTGGTAATAAGCTCCCTGTGTCTCACAGTAATCCAACACAGACCAGATGAATGCCAGTTTAGGATGTCGTAGGGAAAATGCCTGTGTCTATCAGATCCAGTATCTGTACCATTGAGTTCAGAACTAGTGTAGGGTTGAGGCTGAGGTGAGAGCATGGTGCAGGGTCTGAGACCACGGGCTCTGGAGACTCCATGGTGCTTGCTCCTGGAAGCCAGCCACGGAGCTGTGAAGAAGCCAGGCCACACGGAGAAGCCATTCGTAGGTGCTTTGGCCAACCCTCCAGCCAAGGCATCAGCTGACAGCCAGGATCAACCACTAAACACGTGAATGGATTTAGTCTTCAGATCATTCCAATCCTCCAAATTTGAACCATCACACTTGACACCAAGTGGAGCAGAGATGAGATACCCTGCCCAGCCTTGTCCAAATTCCAGATTCACAGGCAAAATTAAGTGTTACCATTTTAAGCCAGTAAATTTGGGGGATAGTTACATAGGGCTAGATAACTGGGACGTGATGTTTATGTGTTTTTCTAAATTGCCACCAATCTTCAAGGCAACTCACAGGTGCAGAGTCAAGTAGAAGCTGGTGTTTTTTGCAGAAAGGGGGGCTGGGGGACTGGGCTGAGAGAAGACAAACTTGTTAAAGCTATTGGGCAAATATGAATGAGAGGTGAATGAGGAGTTTTGGGGGCACAGTGAAGGGCACGGTGAGAACTGGATCCATGATTTGTCATACTCTCCCTCCCCTGCATGGTTCTGTGAGTTTTCTAAATCTCCTGGAGAAGGAAGCTAGACTGAGCAGATGCCAGATCCTGACAAAAGGTGGAAGAGAACTTGGAGGTGTGTAGATGGCCAGCACAGAAGGAGAGGGTGGCGGGCTTGGGAAACACAACACCTAAGGAAACACAATGAAACGAGATAGCCCGCATATTGTTTGCTGTTGGTATGGAAAGGAATCTTCGAGATTATTTTCTATAAAGATTTTATTATTTTTTTTGACAGACAGAGATCACAAGTAGGCAGAGTGGCAGGCAGAGAGAGAGGAGGAATCAGGCTCCCCGCTGAGCAGAGACCCCGATATGGGGCTCGATCCCAGGACCCTGGGACCATGACCCGAGCCAAAGGCAGAGGCTTTAACCCACTGAGCCACCCAGGTGCCCCTCGGGATTATTTTCTAGATAAGGAGAACCAAGCTCTGGCACTTGGAAAAGAACTAAGCACTAATTGTATAGTAGGGAGAGTACAATTGAATTTCAGAGAACACAGGTTCAGTGTGGCGAGAGCATGAATGAGTAATGGGTCCAAAACAGCTTTCCAGATAGGGGGTTCAGAAAATTGAGACAAGCTAGATAATAATAAGCTCTTTTCTATATCTAAGAAGGGGAATGGTAGGGTAGTTCATTTAAAGGTGAGGGCAGGGAGTCATGTTGGAAATATTCTCCATGATACCATGAAGGACAGATCTCTCATTTTGGAAGGGAAAAAATTATACCAGGCGCACAGAAGAGGGAAACCAGAGTGGATGACCAATTTCCCATCAGTCTGGCCGCGGTACTTCAGGATACCCAAGGTCTGTCTGCCGGCCTGGTGCGTGGATGCAGGGGGGAGGAGGCAGGCAAGCTGACTTCCTCATTGCCTTTGAGGCTATAATAAATAGATTTTATTTTATTTTTTTAAAGATTTTATTTATTTATGACACAGAGAGAGAGAGATCACAAGTAGGCAGAGAGGCAGGCAGAGAGAGAGGGAGAAGCAGGCTCCCCGCTGAGCAGAGAGCCTGATGATGCAGGGCTTGATCCCAGTACCCTGGGATCATGACCTGAGCCGAGGCAGAGGCTTAACCCACTGAGCCACGCAGGCACCCCAATAAATATATTTTAAAACTAAAATCCAATGATGTAGGGGCGCCTGCGTGGCTCAGTCGGTTAAGTGTCTGCCTTCAGCTCAGGTCCTGATGTCAGGGTCCTGGGGTCCAGCCCCACCTCTGGCTCCCTGCTCAGCAGGAAGCCTGCCTCTCCGGTTTATTCCTCTGCCCCTTCCCTTTCCTGTGTGTGCTTGTACTCTCTTCCTCTCTCGCTCTTTCAAATAAATAAAAAAAAATCTTTTTTAAAAAATTAAAATAAAAAGCACTGATGTGAATCTGGGCTGAAATCTTCTGGGCGGTGACTTCTTTTTTTTTTTTTTAAGATTTTATTTATTTGACAGAGAGAGATCACAAGCAGGCAGAAAGGCAGGCAGAGAGAGAGAGAAGGGGAAGCAGACTCCCTGCCGAGCAGAGAGCCCAATGGGGGACTCGATCCCAGGACCCTGAGATCATGACCTAAGCCGAAGGCAGAGGCTTAACCCACTGAGCCACCCAGGCGCCCCCTAGGTGGCAACTTCTGATGAAGGTCACTGAAGCCCCCACATTGCTCGTTTCTCCTCCTTCCTTTCCTGCAACACCTTGCATCAATTATCCTCCCGAGGCAAGAACAAAAAACAATTTCAGTATCTAGAGTAGAAGAGAAGAGTATTCATCATAGTGGAAGTTGACAGGGCAGAGCCTTCCCTAAACCCACCCAGGGCCATTTAAAGCTTTTCTGCCCCCTCTAGACTAGCACAGGGGCACGCGCATCCAACCTCAGAAGAGGGAAGACGCTTATACAGAACGCAGTACTAGGTCAGGATGGGCCCTTGTCTGGATGTGTCTCCTCTTATGACCCGTTGTCTAAATCAGGTCATGTCAGCTGTCAGTAACATTTCATTCTTCTTTTCAGAAGATGCTGTCAAAATGCCAATTAGCTTAGAAGTTGTGCACGGGGTGGTTAATTGGCTTTAAATTAAAAAGAGAGATGCCAATGTGGTGCTGGTTTTAATGCAGAGAATTATTAAAATAGATAGGGATTCTAGAAAAAAAATAGGTTAAGTCTAGATGGAATTGATAGGCTATGAATGAACCCAGGCGATGTTTTTGAATAGGGAAAAGGGAACGTGTTACTACTACAACCCTAATTAGGATTCACTGCAGGATCTGGAGCCCAGCCTGTACATATGTGATGTGTAGCCCAAGGGCTCCCCTGAAGATTTCAAGCCCACGTACTTAACCCTCCTGTCCAGCAGGTGGAACTAAAAGGAGGCAATATGTCTTAGAATTGGGGATTACAGAAGCTGTTGAAAGATTAAGACAATTTCTCTGCCTTCAGGGAGGGATAAACTAAAATCATTCTATATGTATTAAATTATTGTTTGTAAATTATATATCTATGAAAGACCTCGCAAAGGCACCCTGGGGGAGTTATTTAGAATTAATTCATCGCTGTCAGGAAATTGTTCACATGCAACCTCTCATAATTCAAGCTCAGACTTCCCTTCTCATCCTTTTGTGGACAGACACGCAGTGGCTGGTTATTATCTTCTTGATAAGAAGCATCCACCTTCTTAATCTCTTTTTCCTTATGTATATTTGATCCTGAAACCTTTCCTCATATGCCCTTAAACAATATTCATTGCCTCATGCTGAGCTCTTCCTGAAGTGGGTTGCTCTTTCATTGTGAAACCCAAGCTGAGCTGTGTATTCTAGAAAAAGTCTGGCCAATTCAACATATAAAGAGCTATGATTTAATGATCCTATGGTCCAGAACTTCCTCCCCCGGGGCCACACTCACTCTTTAAACCACAGTATGAGGATGGCTGATGGCCATTTACTGTCTTATTTTACTACCAGACTTGCACATGACTATTCCGTCTTTCTCAATACACTCCTTCACCAAATGTTTCCTTCGTGAGCCAGGATTAAATGGTTTTGATTGGTTGTTCAGTGAGGATATGGAACCCATTTTCTAAACATTAGGACCTACACGGTGGAGCAGTAAGAATGTTTGTGTCCCCCCACCCCACCAATTCACTTAGTAACTGAGCTTCCTCTCATTCCAGGTCCTTGGCTGCGGCTCTGTTGCCCAGGCTATCCTCAGTCGAGGACACTTTGGAGGAATTGTCACTATCAATGTTGGATTTGCCATGGCAGTGGTAATGGCCATTTACGTGACCGGAGGTGTCTCTGGTAAGTCATAGGAATAATAGCCGCCGTGCATCCATTCTGATGGGCTAGCTCAGCGCTGGGGGCTTTGTGTACCCAGTGTATTTGCATCCCAGCAACCCTGCAAGAATAGGTATTTGATTCTGTTTTTATAGATGTTAAAATCAAAATGGCCAACAGTGAGTGACTTGTGCAAAAGCAACATTTAACTAAAGACGAGAGATGGTCTTGATGAAGTCCTGAAAGTTCATTTTCACTTTTGTTCTCTTTGCTCTTGGAGACATGTCTTGAAAGAAGTTGCTGTGGCTGATGTCGAAAAGGTTGCCGCCTATGTTCTCCTCTAGGATTTTGGTGGATTCCTGACTCATGTTGAGGTCTTTTATCCATTTCGAGTTTATCTTTGTGTATGGTGTCAGAGAGTGGTCGAGTTTCATTCTTCTACACATAGCTGTCCAATTTTCCCAGCACCATTTATTGAAGAGATTGTCTTTTTTCCACTGTATATTTTTTCCTGCTTTGTCAAAGATTATTTGACCATAGAGTTGAGGGTCCATATCTGGGCTCTCTACTCTGTTCCCCTGGTCTATGTGTCTGTTTTTGTGCCAGTACCATGCTATCTTGGTGATCACAACTTTGTAGTAAAGCTTGAAATCAGGCAACATGATGCCCTGTTTTGTTTTTCTTTTTCAACATTTCCTTAGCAATTCGGGGTCTCTTCTGGTTCCATACAAATTTTAGGATTGTTCGTTCCAGCTCTTTGAAAAATGCCCATGGAATTTCGATTGGGATGGCATTGAAAGTATAGATGGCTCTGGGCAGTATGGACATTTTAACAGTGTTTATTCTTCTGATCCATAAGCATAGAATGCTCTTCCATCTTTTTGTGTCTTCTTCAATTTCTTTCATGAGTGTTCTGTAGTTCTTTGAGTACAGATCCTTTACCTCTTTGCTTATGTTTATTCCCAGGTATCTTATGGTTCTTGGTGCTATTGTAAATGGAATCAATCCTCTAATTTCCCTTTATATTTTTTTATTGTTAGTGTATAAGAAAGCAACTGATTTCTGTACATTGACTTCATATCCTGCCACGTTACCATATTGGTGTATGAGTTCTAGTAGTTTGGGGGTGGAGTCTTTTGGGTTTTCCATATAAAGTATCATGTCATCTGAGAAGAGAGTTTGACTTCTTCTTTGCCAATTTGAATACCTTTTATTTCTTTTTGTTGTCTGATTGCTGTTCCTAGGACTTCTAGTACTATGTTGAATAACAGTGGCAAGAGTGGACATTCTTGTCTTGTTCCTGATCTCAAAAGGAAGGCTGTCAGCTTTTCCCCATTGAGAATGATATTACTGTGGGTTTTTCATAGATAGATTTTATGAAGTTGAGGAATGTTCCCTCTACCCCTATACTTTGAATCATTTTAATCAGGAACGGATGCTGTATGTTGTCAAATGCTTTTTCTGCATCAATTGAGAGGACCATGTGGTTCTTCTCTCTTCTCTTATTGATTTGTTCTATCACATTGATTGATTTGCGAATGTTGAACCACACTTGCATTCCATGGATAAATCCCATCTGGTCATGGTGGATAATCTTTTTAATGTACTGTTGGATCCTATTAGATAGGATCTTGTTGAGAATCTTGGCATCCATATTCATCAAGATATTGGTCTGAAATTCTCCTTTTTGGTGGGGAACTTCATCAAGATCAAAAGCAAAGGAAACAGTCAACAAAACAAAGAGGCAACCCACAGAATGGGAGAAGATATTCGCAAATGACAGTACAGACAAAGGGCTGATATCCAAGATCTATAAAGAAACCCTCAAATGCAACACACACAAAACAGATAATCATGTCAAAAAATGGGCAGAAGACATGAACAGACACTTCTCCAAAGAAGACATACAAATGGCTAACAGGCACATTAAAAAATGTTCATCATTAGCCATCAGGGAGATTCAAATA